TTTTATAAAAGATTAGAAAATTATCTAATATTATATTGTTTGCAGACTTGCATGTATGTTAATACTTGATTTTCTGGTAAATACGTTTTGTTTTTTTTATGATTCTGTGAAGTTAATATAATTTWATGGTGCTGCTATACATTAAACAATGTCCATAACAATTTTAGTTATTTACAATATTATAATTTTTATAATTTTTATATCTCATTTTGTCTGTGTTGACCTGTCTTTTAACTTCAGTACTTAGATAGGATAGTCTACCCGTAGGTTTATTATTATTACCTACGACATTTCAACCATATAACAACAATTTGGAAATAAAATATATTGATATAAACTTAATTTCTGTCTCCTAACGTGTCTTAGAATATTCAAATACCAAAACCTATTGAATAAATTAATTTTATATAACGAATGATAATTGATTTAATTTCAGATATCTGCAACTTAAATGTGTGTGTAATAAAATAATAAGCACCTTAATGAGTCTTAATACAATAATATAATATTATATAATATCATAAATTAATAGTTACCTAGCTACCATATATTAACAGACTACAATATTGAATTTTCATATTAAAATATATACTAAATTCAACTGCAGTAGATATGTCTATATCAGAACTGACACTTTCAATATATATCATACGGTTTAAAGACATTTTCGCTGTAAATACATTTGCGCTATCAATACCAATTTAAAATTTTATTTGCTCAACTTGACTTTTTTTTAATTATAACCCGCCACATAAAGTCAAGAGATCATCAAACTCGTACCAAAAATATTTAAGAATATCCGCAAACAAATAGCAGCTATAATTTAAACTTTGTAATCAGTATATAAAACGTCAATCACAAGGAAAAATATAACTATGTAATGTTACGTCGTTATACATATATAATATATATATATATATATTATATACGGGACAGACTCTTATAATATTAATTGCCATAATTAACATTACTATATTAGTTATAATTATTTTCTATGGCGATGCCGAAATATAAATGCAAATGCAAACCACTCGTTGTTATAAAACTGCACAGGATTAACAGACTTATTATCAATTATTTAATTCGCGTTCCTCATCTGTCGTCATTTGAACAGGCTTGTTATTTTTAATCTATAATTTTTTCTTCATCTTACCGATCATCTGCACTCTGCGGTGCACAAACTCATATAATAGTTGAAAAATCACACATGACCATTATGTCACTCAGACGAATTGTTGGAATATTACGATATAACAGTATATTTAATATTATAATATAGATATATATTTTTAAATCTTATGTCATTGTCTATGTGTATATTATATGAAAATAATATGATAAAATACTCAAAACTAACTTCTATGGGGCCATTGCCTTTATCGGATTAAGATCGTAACAGTTTCCAAGTTCAATCATTTTTGTCCGACGTCAAACGGTCGTCTGTTCGTTACTCTTTAGCAGCGGTTCTCAAACTTTTTTGATCGCGGAGCTCTTATATTCCTAAAAAAAATTTCCGAGTCCCAAAAATCAGAAATTTCTATATGAGACAACAAAAATTCATAAAAAATGATGTCAATTATAAATGATTTGCTTTATATTTTTATTTTCTGTAAAATACGAATAWATACAAATTATTTAATTAATATTAATAATTTAAATTTAATTAATACAGATATTCACAGGGAGCCACGGAGCCCCTAGACTACTCTCGTGGAGCTCTAGGACTCCGCGGAGCACAGTTTGAGAACCGCTGCTCTTTAATTAGTATAGACAGTTTCGTAGAAATCTGGGCACGCGATCAATATGAGTATATGATTCCGACCACACAAATTGAATTCTTCATTTTATAAGCTCATTTACTGTGGGCATGCATTTTAGTGGTGTCTGCTGTGTTAAGTATAAGTATAATAAAGTATGTATCGTTGTTGAACATATTATAAATAAATATTATATTATTATATTATTAATAAACATAAAAACGTTATTAATGGCGAATGGTGATCACACATGAGTAGAAACTAGGTCAACAAAACTGATTTTATGAATGTTGCATAGGGCATATCAGAAAAAATTCAAATAGTTAATACAAAATATTAATTCATACTATATTGCAGCTGTTACACTATTGTATAACAAAATCGGTCTAATCACTAAAGATAATTTTTATTGTTATTAGTGGTGTACAATACAATCGCTATTTTATAAAAAAAAAAAAAATTATTTTAAAATTCAAAAATTATATTATGATGCTAATTCAGACGCTTATAATTCGAAAAATTATTTTTAGCCACAATGCATCAGTTTCCATCTATAAATAAGATCGTATTGGCATTTTTAACAAGTCTATAATATAATATAGTTGTTGATAAAAAAGTTAGGTAATTTGTAATATATGATAAAAAAATKTATGTTCATTTAAATACAACTAAAAGTCTAAATACGTACCTAAATATAGGTCTTAAAAAGTTTGATCATATATATGGTATCTATACATAGAGTAGTATCATAGTTTTTAAATGTTGACCATATATATTTTTTTGTAACTTAATAAACTGATGTTGAATTAAAAAAATGTTATATGTCTTATAATTTTAATTTAAACTAGTTTACCTACAAATTACAATAATAGATATTGAATAAAATGGAAACATTGGTAATCGGTTTATACTTACGCACAAATTTCGTGACTATATTATTATTAACATTTATAACTATTCATTATAAATTATAATATATACATTTCTGGTTAAATAGTTAAGATACATTATAGGTAACAAATAAACATTGTAAACGCTTTGGAATAATGTTCAAATAAATCTATGTAACCGTAAAAAAAAAAAACGAGAAAAAATTATTTACAGACTACATTTTGGTATAACAAGTACTTCCATCGTCAAGGCGGTTCATTAGAACACCCTGTACATTACTGTTATAAAAATTAAAACAGAGAGCGTAATGTAATATAGTTCATAGCTTTTTTAATTTTTTTTTTTGTTAAGYGTAAACTTACAAAACATCTTGAGTTATTGCTCGTGTGTAAAAATAAATTTTAAATTCAAGGTTAGATAAATGTTTCACTCCGTATAAGTGTATAACGAATACCGGGATGTACCAAATGGTCAGATACCCATAAAAGTTATTGACTAGAAAAACGGGAGACCACCCGAACCACACAGTATTATACTGTTCCCAAGCGTGAGTTTTATGTTTTTGTAATTGGTGATAATAGTTTCTCACATCTAACATAGTATACAGGACGATTATTTTATCAAAAAACATCATCTCATTAATTCGATAAAAAAATAACGTTTTTGAAAATTTTTTTTTATAAGATTTTATGTCGACACAACTTACAATGCCTACAAGATTTTTGACTATTTTTTTTTAGTTTTTAGTTTTTTGAAAGACAGTAATATGCTTTTTAGATTCCGAAATAGAACATTATTTTAAAAATTTCAATAAGTACGTATATGTATAAAAGCCAAATTTTGAATGAGTATGGGTAAGTCGGTAAGTGTTAATAAATTACTTAACTTTACATGTTAAGTGAGGCGGGGCCCATAATCTTCTTGAAAAATAAATACTTCATAAACTACCTAATAGACAACCTATTTAAAATTCTATTTTTATGCATCAAAATACTCCAAAATTGCATTGTTTTGTACCTTACGAATTAAAATGATTCAAAAGAAATATTTCTTGAAGCGTTAATAGTTTTTGAAATAATGAGTATTCTTCGATAAAATAATCACCCAGTATACAGGGTGTATCAGATAGAACTGACTAAAAATTATGCTAATTAAACGTACAACAAAAATTGTGAAAATTATATAATTAATAACTAATTTAAGAAATATACTCATTTCAGAAATAATATTTGAAAGAAGTTATAACGCT